ATTTGTTAATTCATTAACAAAAATCAATTTAAAATTAATCCGCGTTTTTCTTTAACTCGGGCTGACTAGTAAATTCGCAAACATCGGGTTACTTATCTAAGTACGAGTGGTCCCAATGTGGGCACCGCACAATTTATGATGCTCATCTCTGCGCGATTTCCAGTTGGATTTGTCCGGGGTTTGGTGAGATTTACCATGTGGATTATTTGTTTCCAGCTTGCAATGATGAGAAATTGTCTCGCCTTACGGGCACGCAGATCTTCATTACGGGCAAGTACTGTGTCTTTTCAGCTCTTTTGGTTGTTTGCTTTGATTCTCACTTGTTTATGTTATTTTTGCATTTCTTTGAAATATATGCCTTTTGTTTCGGTGCCGTTGTGTTTTCTGCTCTTTTGTGTAGTTGATATGGGTTTTGGTATTTTGGATCTCGACACGGTTTTAGGCAAATAACTGTCTGCTCAGCGCAAGGGCTGGGTGATTGTCGGTTGTCTCCGTTTCTACCGGTTCACATTCTCACCATACATTACTGGTGCTGTTGTGGTTTATTGCAATTGGTGAATTTATTCCCTTGCTATTACTGTGTTTCGGCAGGTGGGTGTCGGTGCACGATCCCACTGTTGCTTTATTGTCTGAGGTCTTTAGCTTCGCATCTTAGTTCCACTCGGTGGGCTTGGCTCATTGATGATGCTGTAATCACTCGTCGCCCCAAATTTAAGGTTGCTGAGCTGTGGGGTCGTTACCACGATTTCCCTCAACGTAGAGGGGTCTGCTGGGTGCCCATCGGGGATTTTCTGTTGATGTTTGGTCTCCGGAGAGTCGGTGGTGTTATTGCTGCGGATTGATTTGCTTATGAAAGGTTGCGGGTTCGACTCCATTACGGTCTGCGAGGTGTAAGCGCTCTTAGCTTTCGGACGTAGTTTCTCGTGTATCAGTCTCGCTGTTCTCGCTTCGCCTTCCGTGGAGATCGGATATTTCATTTCGCAATGGAGGTCATTTCAATGAGCTTCGAGGGGTTTGCTGGGGAACTTCTTTTAACTTCAAACCGCTGCAGAGCACTGTCTTGGTGTCTTGGTTCGTCCATCCGGCTGCTGGTCGTGCCCCGATGGACTTGATCGCAAATTAGGAAGAGATTTCTGCCGTGCTCTTGTCATTCAAGTCTGCTCTTTGTCGTGCAATCGAAGACGTTCTTTGGTTTTATGTGAAGTGCGCTATTGACTTTAGGACGTTTTGGAA